CATATTTAAGATTTTGTTGCACAATTGTATTGTAAGAAGGCAAATCATCATCACTATCACTCTCACTAGAGGATGAGCTTTTGTTACCTCGTGCCATAAGGCACACACGAGAAGAGCTTGATGATGAGTGCTTATGACCTCGCCTCTTGTGATGGTTTTCTTCTTCACTTGAAGAATCATCCCATGACCTTATTGTTGTGAGGGCTTTGTTTTTGCACGCCTTCTTCTTTGTCTTGGGTGTGGGCTTGTTTGGACAAACTTCCACAAAGTGCCCCATCTCGCCGCATCCGTAGCATCCTCTCTTTCTTTGCTCATTTCTTTGATTGGTGAAAATGAGATCTTGAATTTGGATGGGCACACCCTTGACATTGAGCCTTTGGATCATCTTCTCCACCTTGTTGATTAATTTGATTGATTCTTCGTCAAGGTCGGAGGTGGAGGAGGAAGATTGATCATCATCACTTGATTCTTGTTCATCATCATCATCCTCATCTTCTTCTTCTTCACTTGAGGAGCTTGAGCTTGACTCAACTTTCTTGCCCTTCATCTTTTTCTTTTCGCTACAAGCGAGAGCTTTGCCTTTGCTTGATGAAGATGCTTCTCCTTGACCCATCTTACGTGACATTTCAAATGCCACTAGCTTGCCAATGACAATGCCCGGGGTCATGGTGCTCAAGTTCTCCATGTTGTGAAGGATGGTGATGATGCTTGCATATTTCTTTTGTGGTAGAACAGAGATGATCTTCCTCACGATGTCCGCATCATCTAGCTTTAATAATCCTATTGAATGGAGCTCATTGATAATTAGATTCAATCGAGAATACACATCACGAACAAGCTCATCATCATTCATAGCAAAGGAATCATAATTTTGCTTAGCTAGACAATGTTTTTGCTCACGGACATTACTTGTACCGTCATGGAGCTCTTGAAGTTTTAACCAAATTTCATGTGCCGTATTTAAGGTGAACACTTGGTTAAACACATCCATGCTAAATGATTCAAACAAACAATTCTTAGCTCTAGCATTAAAATGCATTTCTTTTTCATCACTCTTTGTGGGTTTTTCGGGATTCTTGATGGGTTTCATCCCGTCACGAGTGACTCTCCATACACCTAAATCAACCGCCTCAAGGTGGCAAGCCATTCTAGCTTTATAGTATGGGAAGTTAGAGCCGTCAAATTGTGGAGGCCTAGCGGTATCCATCCCAACCACTCTACAAGCGTCGGCTCAACGGCGGTTAAGCCAAAGGTCCAAATATGAGCCAACCGGCTCTGATACCAATTGAAGGGATACGTGGACGCCTAAGAGGGGGGGGTGAATTAGGCAACTTAAAAACTAACTCTAAACTATGGCCTCTTTTTCTACTTCTAGCAAAACCTATGCAAAAGATAATCTATCTAGATGTGCAACTACGGTTTTGCTAGTGTGTTGCTATCTCTACCGCAAATGATAATAATATGATCAATGTAAATGCGGAAGCTTAAAGAGCAAGGTAGAGATATGCAAACTCCGTCGACGACTCGGTATTTTTACCGAGGTATCGAGAAGCCGCAAGCTTCCCCTAGTCCTCGTTGGAGCCCCTCGCAAGAATCCCTCACAAGGGCCAAGCTCCCGGTCGGGTAACTCCGTGGATAGCCTCGGGCCTTCCCCACGCCGCAAGTGGGTCTCCGATGTGCCTCCCGGCAAGCCTCTCCCGGATGCTCCCCGCCGTCTTCACTATCAAGCTTTCGGCCAAAACGCCATGGCCTTGTTCCCTCCGGTTGCAGTGGCGGCCACACCACAAACGCGTTGGTGTGATCTCGCAAGACTTCAAGCCCCTCCGATGTACAACACTTGTGCTCACAAGCACGGGGTGGCAAGAGGTATGCAAACCTCACTTAAACACTAGGCAAACACCTAGAGCAAGCGCATAGCGATGGTCTAATCAACCTAAGCACTTCGTAAAGCACTTATGCTAATCACCTAATAAAACACTAAGCACTATGCATGTGGAGATCACTCAAATGGTGTATCAACACTCTTGATATGTTTCCTCGGCTCCACACTACACAAATGGCGGTTGGGGTTGTATTTATAAGCCCCACCGAGAAAGTAGCCGTTGGGGTCGAACTCCCGCAATTCACCATCGACCGGACGCTGAATCGTCTCTGACGGGACGCGTCCGTCGTCCCCGACCGTTAGCCCGCGAACTACCGATCGGACGCTGCCAATGTCGATGCCGCTTCTACCGGACGCGTCCGGTCGCGATTCAGCTACGCTGAACCTCTCATAGATTTCGATCGGACGCTGCGTTCCTGCGTCCGGTCGGTTGCCGCCAGCGTCCGGTCCTTGCGTCCGTCGCTTTGTCTGCCGAAACCACCGGTCCAGCGTCCGGTCACGCTTCCAGCGTCGGTCCGGTCCAGCGTCCGCCGCCTCTGCGAGCTCGTTTCTTTCTGATCTTATGCATGCGCTTGGTTCCTATCTTCATGCTTGGACTTTGCTTGACATCTTGGGTCTTTTCTTGTGCTTCTAAGGTCTTGCTTGAGGTGTTGATCATCGGATCATCACGTCGCCTTCGTCCAAGTCACGTCTTGCACCCTATTGGACTACAAAACAAACACTTGCAAATTCATTAGTCCAATTTGGTTGTGTTGGTCATCAAACACCAAAATCCAAAGTAAATGGGTCAAGGATCCATTTTCCTTACATATGTGAACCTGGAACCTGCTATATTAGCCAATTAATCTGCATTCTGCAGTAGGAAGAAATTGAATCTAGCTCAGCTACTGGAAGGTGTGGGTATACACCCCTAACCTCCCTGGTTTATGTCTATTTTACCTTGAATTTGGGTGCCCATTTTCTTTTTAATACAAAACTATAGTCTTGTTTGTGAGTTCTCATCATCGCAGAGTTTCACACTTTTTTCTTTTAGTAGTTCTCAGCTTGATTAATATCTATTTTTTCTGCAGAATTCTGTGCCTTCTTGGAGGGTACATTTTGATTGGAGCAGTTTACAGATACTATTTCCTGGGCATTCATTCTGTAGAGGTAAAGCTTGTCTTTCAAGAGTCCTCCATTTATATGCCTCATTCGTTTTATGTCAAATTATATGGAGTATGATGTTATTTGCTTGGTAAGGCTAGTTGTAACTCTCATGGTTTCTCATCAATAAGCTCTGATACATAGCTTTAATCACTAGAGTTACATGAAAAATCTCATTAACTCAACTACCAATTCACTGATACATCTACATGCGTGTGCGCATTTTTGTTTCCTGAAATCTGTAGGGAAAAGTACCATTTCGTCCTAACTTTGTGCTAGATAACTTTTCATTAATGTTCCCAGCACTGGGAATGGTCTCAAGAAAACTTATACTAATAATTTGTTAAAATTTGTATTAGTCTTGAGTTGGACCAACTCCTCAAGGCAGGATTTCAAAATAAATTTGGACTGTAGCTGAGCCCACTGTTTAGAGACAACTTGCTCCTCAAAATGTTGAACTGTACTCAAGTTTTATCAAAATCAATCTACGAGACCACAAGTTTAATCTCGTAATTGATTTGATTCCAGCTTCATGTTTCTTGAATATACGTACTGGCAGTGAAAATATTGTTTGCTTGTGGACAACAAGGTCCACCTGGCTATGAAATAACTGTTTTGACCATTCTACTTGGATTTGGTGGAAATTGGTGTGTTCGATTGGGTTTCCCAATTTCTAATTGGATTGTGAAAGAAATGCATTTAATTAAACAACCACGGTAAAACAAACTGTGAAGAAAGAATGTAAATTTATCAATAAATCAAATCTTTTTTTAATAAAAACTACAAGTGAATCATATCTCCCCCTTGTCAACAATGAACATTCCCTTGAAATTGTGATTAGATCAGCCTTGAATTGTTTCTGTGAGCAGTTACCTTAGGAATCCACTCCATCCATTACACTTCATGATGCTTTTGAACCACTTGTCTTACTCTTTTCTTATATTGTAGGCCATTCCAAACCTGGAATTTTGGATTGGTTTGCCCCAACGCATTAAGGTAACTTTAAGAGTCTTTTAAATGATTCCTATTCTCTACTAGCAACCTGCTGTATGTGAGTGATTTCGTTGCATTGGTCCCTTTTTATTTACATGTTATATTTGCTCTGTACATTTATCAATTACCAGTACAACCAGCCCTAGTGATATGGTGTTAAACTTCTGATGGGTGCAATGAGTAGTAATTTATACTTGTAAACAAGTTTCAATTCTAGCAGTAATATACCAAGGTCTTCAGTACTACAGAGTATTTAGTTTCCTTCAGTTGGCCAGTCGCAATAAGAAACATGTTGTTGTTTTTTCCTTCTGAAATGGAAAAGGTAGTTTTGCAATTTACAGGTGTCTGTTGAAAAATTCTAGAGTTCCTTTACTTGCTTAGCATGTTCTGAGTGTCATCATTCATCAAATGTAACCTTATAACTTGCTCATCCATCTGTCCAGACTATCTTTGTTCTTGCAACAAGAAGTCACGTAAGTTATAATAGAGATGGTCAAGGCACATACGCCAAAATATTTTTTTTGGGAGTAGCCGAAATAGTTGCTGGTCAACAATTATTTCACACCAAATGGCACCATTGCACTATTATTATACAGATGTCATGATCACCTGCCTTGATGTTAGTCCTTATTTTTTTTGTATGCCATTGTTGATAAAAAAAACAGACATACCCTGTTATGCTTAAGGAAGATGAAAGTGACATATAAGATTACTCTGTGCACCTCATTTTTGCTCTTAGTTGATGTTCATGTTGTTTTGTCTTCTCTATTTTAAGTGCCTACTAGGTGCAATATTAAATTATTTTTGTAGTCAACAATCTATAGGCAACAGATAGAGCACACTATGTGATTTAAGTGAATAGCTCTATCTTGAGTTGGTAGTTGCTATCAGACACTATCTTGAGTTGGTAGCATCTGAATTGCCCACTGGTGTTGCAGCCAGATTACCCCAGGAGTCTTCTGCGGCAGATTACTCCATGTGTCTAATTCGTTTGGGGCTCATCAGACTCCATCTTATCTTTCTCACCCCAACTGGATCCTGCATTAGACTTGGCATTTGGTCTTCCAATTCCATCTCCAGCATTCCAAGCAAAGCCTCCCCAATCAGTGGAATTGTCCTGCACCTTAGCATGCACTTCCCATGAATTATCTTGATTTGCTGGCTTTGCAGCCGCTCCACCTCCACTACTCCAGGCTCCCCAATCAGTGGAATTGTCCGGCACCTTAGCATGCACTTCCCATGAATTATCTTGATCTGCTGGCTTTGCAGCAGCTCCAACTCCACTACCCCAGCCTCCCCAGTCACCAGAATCATTCACAGCACTAGCATTTTGTTTCCAAGTTGAGTTCATTGTTGTGCCATTTTCCCATGAGCTGTCTTTCTGAATATTTTGCTCTCCAACTTAAGTATTATACAACACCTCAGAATATCTAATTAACCCAATCAAACTAGAATAGACACTGATCCTAAACAAGGCAAGATCTACCAATCCCCAGAAGTCCTTGGGTGGGGAATAAATGTCCCCGTGGTGTTGCTACAGTCAAAACTGCTGACTTAACCATTAATATTAAAACATGCTTGGTTGACAAACCTGCACAACTTGATCGAAGGCACATGAGATGCCAATAAGTTCCCTCACTTGCTGAATGCCATATGGAATAGACCTCCGTGTGTCAATGAGGTCAAGTACAGGTAAGCAGGCATCAATTGTTGTCCTCCAGGCATCACCATTGCTTACAGCATCATCTTTTTCAACAATGATTTCTAACGTCGGCTCACCCTTTGATACCTTCTGTGTGTTTTTTACCCAAGAGGTTGTATCTGATTCAACCCAGATAACTTTTGCTCACCCTTTCTAGTTTGTTTAGTTCTTTACTCTGATTTGGCAAATAGATCCATGTCAGGTCTTTGCTCCAATTTTTAGTGGAGTTACAAGTAACAAGAGGGCATGTCTTATGGATGAGAATAAGAAGAGTAAGAATTCTAAGAAACCCTGAACCATTGCCCTGGTAAGTGAAGTTTGATTTTGTACTCCGACTTTTATTACATTATGTGTTGTCGAAAAGTTCAATTGCTCCTGCCGATGAGATTAACACTGAGCTTTCTGTAGCAGAACCGCCTAATCTAATGCCTCACAGGAGTGCTTGTCTTCCATTAGACACTAAGCACTCAAGGGAGAACACTAAATTACTCGGTTCCGTCGGGCACACCCCATGGGAGAACCCGAAAATCCACATTTTTGCCATCAGGATCACAAATGAGAGAACAAAGCTTACATCATTCTTAACCATTTCATACATCCCTTTTAGTACAACATCAGAGTATAATAGTTATTGTATAACAGCGGAATGTAATCATATTATCAGAGTTATAAATAATTTAATGTACAACGGAATTTAAACATGTGATCAGAATTATAGTGGAAATAAACATCTATTAATGATATGATGAAGTATTTGATATATAAACTACTACAACAGATTATGAAACTTTCATAAAAAACATTTGGTGAGAGTTATAAATAAAAACTACGATCGTGGCGTAAAGGAATCCTCGCTGAGCCCACCAGGAGGAATCCACACACAAGGGTCACTCTAGCATCAACTTTGTCACACCGCAATGGGGGAATAAAACCCCAGTACTCAATTGTACTCAGCAAGACTTACCCGACAGGAGGAAAGAAAAAGACTCAAGGATATGCAAGGCTATCCGCTTGTGGGTTGCATTTGCGGAAGCATTACTAAGCGTGCATCCTTATATTTGATTTTTATTAATAGCCGCATTGGTTCATTAACTAACCATTCTATGTAAGCACCATGCTATTTTCAAGCGGTGGTAAGCAATCAGATTTCCTTTTCCATCTTTCATCTTTCATCTTCAGTTCTTACTACGATGCTAAACCACGAGACAAGCCGTCTTTGGATAGCCCTACGATTCATGAATCAATGCCCCAATTGGTACCCTGAAAACACTGCGCCCGCTTGTACCCCGAGCACAAGCAGACCAACCCATCACTCTCTGTCCCCGTGTCCGTGTCCCCGTCCAAACTGGGACTCAAGCCCCGCCCACAGTCCCGGACTCGGTGCGGTGCAAGGACCTCCTCCACCAAAACAAACCCTAACGATCGGTCCGGAAAGATCCGGATCCGCGACAAGAGAGCAACAAGTCTTCCAAGCGCCCATACACAAGTATGTGCTCGGGATAATAAGTCTGTGACCTGCCTAGAGTCATATGCAACGATTGGTCCTTAACCGACGAGACGGGGAAAAATAGTGTAACCAAGCTATGCCCCGTGTCCACGGCGACACAACTCCTTACACTTACCAATACCCAAACCATATCCCCGCCCGGTCACCATTTTTCTTTCCACCATTTTGATATTTTCCAAGTGATAATCATATAGTAACATATTTCACAGTATCTCACGAGTGATGGATAATCACTCGACTTCTACCGGAGTCCCAGAGCATAGCAATCTACACGATCCTGTCATACTAGTAAGACTCATAGGATAAAGATATATATGCAAGTGGGCTTCATTCAACTCCTTGAAACTTAATGCACAAATATAATTTAAACTGCAGAAAAGTAGAGGTTATGCACCGGGGCTTGCCTGGGTAAAATATAACCAAAAGTTAGCATTCCATCTTCGTGATATGATCACCATAGCATCATCTTTCAGCTACTCCAGTTGATACCATCGATCCACCGTCGTTCCTATTATGATATGTATTGATGCAAATGCATAGATGTAAATAATCAACGACAGCCGAAATTCTTAGAAATCCAATCATGCTTCCAAAAGTACCATTTCTCCAGCCACTCTCGATGACTCCACGATCCATCGACGTCCCTTCGTCGGCGTCGAACTCGCGGTACTCGGCAAACAGACACAAATAAATATTCACATAAATTCAACTGCGTTCCAAAAATTATGAAACTTTATGGATAGGTAGGGTTCGATTTTAGATGAATTTAGGAAGAAGAATTGATGGAATCGGAGTTAGCATAGTAGAGATATTAATTGTGCAAGGTGGCCGCTAATTAATCACGAGGAGAGAAAATGAAACGTGATTAGTGGCCATCAGCTGCCGCTGGTTATTAGAAAGGGAAAAGGAATAAAAAAATTGGTGGAGTGGATTAATGGCTCATGACTCTTGACTTTACGTGTATAGGAGCTGAGTTGGTTCTTGGCTTTGCTACTGGCACATGGCATAGGACAAGCTGTTGCTGTGGACTTAAACAAAGAGCAGAGCGGGTATACGGCTAGGATTCTTCGAGAGAGACACAGAGAGCACCGAGCGTTTGTGCTCCTCAGCTCGTCCACCATGGACAGCTGCTGGACTTTCGCCTGATGGCGATTCTGGTCATGACTTCCAAATCTAAGGGCATGGGGAGGTAGAAGGGAGGTAGGGGATGTATGGGGACTATCTACCTTGGTCAATTGCAGTTTGAGGAAGGAGATCAACAGAGCGTAGCCTTCCCAGGCAAGAACAGAGAAACTCGATTTAGAGAGTAAGATGGTGAGCGGCGGAGTGGGATGGCTCGGCAGGCTTGGCGTGTCCTTTATAGGCAGGAGATGCGGGGCTGGAGCTGGCATTTGGCTAGCTAGTCATGTGAATTGGATTTCACGTGATGAACTTGGAGTGGGTCTTTGGTCATGAGTGCATTAATTCAAATGATAGACTTTGAGTGGTCTTTGGACTTGACGAGCACATCAGGACTAGAGTGTGCTTTGGGCTAAACGTGCTTGGTGGTGAGGTGCTGATTCATTCATGCAGGTCAAGGAAATAATGGGGAAGGAGACCACAGGTCAAGAAAACATTAGAGAATGAGAAGATCAATTGTAGATTAGCTACCTCAGCTGATTATTGCAGCTCGGGAGAAATCGATAGACGCAACTTTCACGGAGAAAAACAGAGAAACTTGATTTGAGAGAAGCAAGTGAGCAGTGGAGCTGAACGGCTTGGCGTAACCTTTTAATGGCAGGCGACGCGAAGGCGCGACAGCGACGCGTCGTAAGGTTAGCGGCTAACTAGCTTCTTAAAGGTAACAAAGCGATGCTGCGCACGACCGTGGCGTTTTTCGTATGAACAGTGTTTCTAAGCTGCTACCGTGTTTTCCACGACGCTACAGTATTTTCTACGTCGCTACAGTGTTTCCTGCGAGTGAGCAGTGTTTCCTACAGATGAACGGTGTCCGTGCTCAGTAATGTTTTCACTGTCATTATTAAAAGCGCTCCTCGTGCACGATTTAACTCTATCATTATTAAAGCAATGATCATGATCAGTAATGTTTTCACTTCCTCACATGATCATCAACGATAAGCGCTAGCTTCTTGACAGGATTATCCAACTCGATCATGGTTACAGCAAAGGGTTAGCAAGTAATCAGGCGTGTAAATATTTCATGCAACAGAGATGATTGCCATTTTTACCACGACGCTGCTGACATCTTCAAACCACTACAGATAGAATTTCCGGTCAGTCCATGTATAGGCGCGTCTGTAGCTCTAGTTGGAGAATCGTAGCATCTATGTTCTTCTGCGTTCATATCTAAGAATAGCACTTCGGTTCAAGTCTCGGCACAGAAAGCTTGACGAGTATAAATTCTAAACACTGCCTGACTTTATACAGTGATTTCCTTGGTGCTACAGTGCCCGACGTGCAAGACGGTGCCGGACGCAGTGAACCGTGTTGGATTCCAGGCGAGTATGGTGCACGCCGAAAAAAAATAAACGAAGCTGCTGCGCTCACTTTCTCGTCAGTTCGTGCTTAACAAAATAAACTCGTGAGTTTATATGTATCGTTCTATTTATTAATGGATTTTATTTTATTTATAAAAGTTGATTTTCATGCTTAATCTAACCGAACAAAACGTTCTCTAGAATCGTCGTCGGACATTCCTGAATATTTCTACGCACTGCGCAATTTATCTTGAGCGTTGATTTGAGTCCACGAAACTAAGTCACACGGGATTCACTTGTCGCAGCAAGTACGTTTTAAATTAAAAACCCGAAAAACTCGTTTCGGAAATTTTTCTTAGGCCTAAATCGCGGTGCTAAATAAACTCGTAGCACCAGGGGTGTTACACTTTCATTGTAGCTGGAAAAATAACAGGCATGAACTGCTTCACCATGCCAACAACAGCCATGCATAGTCTGTGCACATTCTTGCCTTGGCCCTTTCATTGTAGCTGCTGTTTGCATATGCATTTTAATTGTGCAAGCAAGCAAATATATTCGGCTTGTAATGCTCATCATGTTTTCCAATCGGCAATGCACATGCTCTAGAAATTCATAAGGTGAAATATATATTCTACTGGTCGGCTTCAGTCTCAAGCAAGTCTTTA